GCCACTTGGGAATGTTCATCACTCCAAACCAAGAAACAGCCAAACATCAATACAGCTCACAAATACATCAACAGCTCACAATAAAAACTGCAATACATTTTGCCTTCACCCATGCCAGGGATTAGTAGTTCCTGCAGAGTCTCCATCAAGAGCAGCACTGAATACGTAACTGTCCCAAGTCTGTCCACATTCTGGGAAATTATAACTTCTTACAACACAACCCAGGCCAGTAAAACTCTAAGAAAGTCTTTTCTGTCCACATCGGCAAGAAATACTGCTAACAACTGTTTGATCAGATTGCACCACAACTGAGCAGTTATTTTTTAACGCAGTCTGATCGAACTGGAAGGTTTCGGGATCTTCCCATCCTTTTAAGCATCTTCTCCAGCCAAAGAACACAAGAAACTTGAGGTACCTATCTGAGAAGCGCAGAAACAAATCAGCAACATCTCTCCAACGCACTACTGCTACTGGAAGCTAAAGGCAGGGTTACTTTCCAGGGCCCATCATCTTGGCCACCCCACTGATCCCATCCAGAACTCTTGGCCAAGAGGTTCTGGCTAGGTGGAGCCCGAGCTACAGCCACCTCCATTAGGATGTGGCCTGCAAACAGCAAACCATTCTGGGCAGAGGTTGCTGAGGAGCTGGCAGGCTGTACTGACTTTTCTTTAATTGCTGACTAGGACTGGATCTAACGTGGCAGGTGGGATATTCCTTTACTGATATCTAGTATATCCTCCTCCGTCTTAGGCAATTCCAACAATGTTGAAGACCACTGCAGGCTCCTCTGTGTTGGCTTTACACAGTAGGTGATACCAGAACTACTTTTTCCTCTAAAATACTACGCCTCTGGCATAAAATTAAGCCGTGCTTTCTGTGCAAATAACTTCTGTGGCTTAGAAGTTTACAGCTCACTATCTTTTAAAAACGTACACAACTTTATTTCATAGCAATATACATCTACCCCAGGAATTAAGACAAGGCCCATAACTTTATAGTGTAATTCGCAAATAATCAACCTGCCTTTTTCTAAAATACATCTCCAGAACTCTCGGTTATATAGCTACTTTCACGCACAAATTTGCTGCCTCCAGTTTTAAAGCAGGTTTGTGGTAACCACTTGCTTATCACATCACAGAACTGACCATTTTCAGACCAAGGATCACGAGGTGATTGATTTCAGGCTCCTTACACTTCCAGCAGAAACGCTGTAGCAGAATGTAACTTGAAGGATACGATTTCTGTAATTCCTGATGATATAACTGCCTACTAAATCTAATATTAAATAAATACATTATTTCAATACATCGTTATCCATCATAAGACACTCCTGAAAGGCCCACCCAAAACCTGAGAACATCGCTGTCTGGAAAACACGCCTAGTGTAACTGTCACCTGGAAACTTCTCACAGAAAGCTGGTTTTGTTCCAGCAGTGCTGATTTAAAGGTTATCCAGTCAGAGGGGCACAAAACGAGAATTCATTTGGAAATTTCTCACCGAAGCTTGCGAGGTGCATCAGCAATTAACAATTCCTATCACTTTCCCCAGTTCGCCGTGTGAAAAGGCTCAGAACTCGTCTTACAAATTGCTCTTTTGAAGATCAAAGGGAAGCCGAATTTGTCTGTGTGCTCTGGATGAGTTTGTAATTTACTGGAACTTTCAGAGGAGGCTTGGCAGCGCGCTCATTTGACAGCCCCAGGGTACAGGATTCAGGAGAGCTCTGTGACTCTTCCCTTCCGAGTTCCTTCCTTGCCTTTAATTGGCACCTCATTACAAATTAATGAAAATGACATCCTCTGTTCTTCCTGCTCCAGGCACAGAACGCTACAAAAAGGCCCATCACAATTCATAACACATTCAATTTATGGAGCAATGGCTCTTAAGCATTATTTATGAGATGTGAATTTCTTGTCAGCAGTTAATAACTTGTACAGAGCAGCAGCAAAATGAAAAAAAGATCTTAAGAGTACGCCTGTATGAAAATAAACAAACCTTTCCACAGCTGAAAAACGTTGTGTTTGAGTCTGAAGAAGCCTGACTGGGACTCCCTCCTCAGTAGTGAATTGTTTTCCTTCACGGCAAAGCCCTGTCGAACCTGTCTAAAATTCCATGTCGTGCCGAGGGAACAAGCGCAGCAGCGTCACCTCTCGCGGGGCAGGTCTCGCGGGAGGCAGCAGAGCCAATACAGCCGTAAAGCAGCAGCTCACTCCCTCTGTCCCCTTTCAAACAGGCTGTGCCCCGTCAGACAAGTCCCATTCAAACTGGATTAATACCTGCAGGTACGTCTGGATCAAAACATTGTCCAGTACGTACAGGTTTTTCTTGCCGCTGCGTCTCACTAAAAATCTCCCTGGAAGAGTCACCAGGACACATCAGCAAAACACGAGACGATTTCCAACACTTTTAACGTTGGGTCAAGAAGATGTGTAACAGCAAACAATAAAATTGCTGTTCTGGGGAGGCTTAAAGAGCTAACTTAGATTTTAACAACAGTCTTTCAGCCACAGTTTGGAAGAACATAATATTTACGTGGTTAATCCTTTTCCCTCACATCCCAGCAAACACACACATTTCTCCTCCTAAAGATCGCACCTGCCTTTTTATCGATCTGGACTATCACAATGTCTTTTAATGTTTAAAGTTGAGGTTTTTTCCGTGTTTTTCCCCCATTGCTTCAGTTAAGGCTTTAACAGCAGCGGCCCAAAGTCCGGATCAAACAATGTTGTACCTTGACCATTACTTTTGAAGAACATACATGCTTATTTTACACCAGTTGATTATATTTCCAACACTTCTGTGCTTCCACTATGACAAAAGGACAACCTGATCACATACGGACTCAGAAAACATTCTACATGAACAAGACTTTTAATATATTGATTCCGTCCCATTTTCCATCACGCCCTCCCCAGGGTTTGTGATCTGGCTTGTCACTCACGCCCTAAAGCAACCTAATTTTGCAGACAGCAGGGCAAAGATCGTGAGAACGGTTTCTCGGGCAGCTTCTTTAAAATGACAATACAAATGAAACAGTAGAGCTGCACGGATAAACCAAAGATCTCCCGTCTTTTCAGTCATGTTGTACACACAGAAAGAGACTCCTCCCTCCCACTGCTCTCACTAAATGTGGGGAATATAAATGTTTATTATACATCCTGCACAGGAATGAAAATTTTCACTTCCTCACTTGTTGCTGAGGAACTCAGAATTTTTTTTTTTCATATTCATGTTTCATTAACACATTTTATGAACTTGAACAGAAGTATTTCCATAAAGCTGTATGTATCCAGTGGAAACAATTTGAAGAATAATTTTTACAACGTTCATATCACAACAACGTTGAATTATGGAACTACTTCAAGAAAACTTGGGAGGAACCAACTAGATGTAGTTGTCATCCAGTTTATGGAGGAAAAAAAAAGGCAGGTCTTATTTCATGATTTTAAAAACATTACTAACCCGTGTAAGGACTTTTAAAAAGTTGCTTTCAACATCCTTGCTCCTACATAGCCCTGATTTTGCAGAATCACCAAGTCATCTTTTCTCCAGTTCTCCCCAAACTTGTAAACTCTCTTGCTCCCGGTATTAGGGAGGATTCTTCTATTTCAGTCAGGCACCTGCGAGCAGGCTCCGTCACTTGATACGGGACAGCAGCAGACCAAGAGCAGAATCTCCCGCCTCTGCCACGCTGAGCAGCAAGGGCCAAACCAAACCGTGTCACCGTTTGAAGCTTCTCAGTTTGACCAAAACCCGACGGGACACTTCAGCGTATGATTTCCATCACAAGAATTTCAACATTACAGCTTGTGGTTCCACGTTTGGTGGCCTCACAGATAACGTACTAGTTTTGTGGCGATGCTCCACATCTGAAACAAAGCCTGCCTTGTGTCCCAAAAAGCCCCGCACAACAGTACCCTCTGAAGGCAGACAGAGGCTGAAGAAAGGAACCGAGGAGAAGACGGAATCTTTGCAGCTGGCTTTCCCCTCTCTTCACTGGATACTAGTTACCCAGTATAGAGTTTGTTACCCAGTATAGAGTTTATTAACTGGGTCTTTGTAACCAGCTTAGCCGACCCCTGCTCTCCCCGCTGCTGCTCAGAAGGTCACGCCTTCCGCCCAGAAAACATTTTCACACAACGTTCTACGTTTCACAGGCGCAACGGGAACGGCCCCCATCATCGATGCAAATCCTTCGGAAATTATCCTCCTGCGGAGGCACAGCGAAGTAACTAAAACTTCTCCAAAGGCATCAGCACAAGCACGCTCCGAGAGCGCAAGCGTAAGCTTTCGATATGTGATGACAGGAAAAAATAATTAGCAGGTAAAACCACCACGTGCACTATCACTGGGTCTGGTGAGCACATTTAAACCGGTGCTGAACACAATTGTTCCATGGAGGAGAGAAGATCTCCTTTGGAATCTCGTCACATTAATTATTGTTTCAGAAAGATTATTTGCATGTAAGATGAACCCCCAAATTAGCTGTCTGCATGAGATTATCATCCTCAATTCAATTAGCTGAACAGGGCCATCGACTTTGGAAAAACAGGCTGGATGATTCTAAGCGTACGGTGAACAACAAGTCTTCCCCCCGCAACAGCCAACTGGGAGAATGAAAACATCTTCAGTTAGAGGGTTTTTTTGGTCTTAACTTTTAGTAATAACGTAATTACAAACCACAGAATGTAGATGCTGACCTATGTTCCTTTAAGCTCTGTAAAAACCTTGTCATCTTTGCACATTTACTAATGTGCTTTGTGTTTCTTCTCCTGTCAAGTGGGTATGACGCTCTCCCGCCTTACAGGGACTTCTGAAGCTCAACTCATTAACATCCGAGATCTCTTGAGACAAGGCAGTACATCAAGCCCAAAGTTTTACAGGGAAAATTAGACAGGAACTAATTATAACTTTTTGCTGCCAGTGGAAGCCGTAGCTTCTGTTTAAAGTATCTTTGAAAGATAAAAAAGAAAAGCAAAGCAAGTGTTCTCTGTATTCCCACCTGTGGTACGGACCCGAGCCCAGCTGACAGACAGTACTCACCACAGCGACATGATCCCAGTTCCTGCTGTACTAGCTCCAGTTTTGTTTGGCACTGGAAGCATCGGCGTCTGCTCTTCTGTTTGGATCGACTGGTTTCCTCGGGCCTGTCATTACTGTCATCCAGTAGCCGTGGCCGTTTCACAGGAGAAGCCTCACTCTCCGACTGTGAATCTGTTGTATTCGCAACAAATAGTGTAGGAAAAATATTAGAACTCCCTTGCTGAGGCAGCCCTTTGGGCAGATTGAAGGTCTACTGCTGTCAGCTGGGGTCACCACAAGCAGCGTGGTGCTCCCCGTTCTATGGCACATACACATTTTCTTAACAATCAAAATGAGCATCAAGCAAAGGGCAAATTACCTTTGTTCCCTACAAGAACCCCTCCTGCTGGCAGTACTGAACACAAAATGAACTATCAGCTTCCTTCCAGCCTTGGCTGGGTCATGTAGAGTACACACCACCCTCCACAATCGCGGGCTTCATCTGTCATCTCATTGAGATTCTCCTTCTTCATCCTCCCCGCACAAACTCACCCAGCTAGGCTGCTGATGACAAACCACCGCACGCAGGTCTGACCTGTCTCCTCCCTTGGCAGGAGGGAGGTTTCTCAGGCACAGCACGGCAATTGTGCCTCTCGCGACCGAAGGCGGTACATGAAAGCACCATGCCGTGCTTCCCGCTCTTTCCACACCGTTAACCATTTAAAGCTGAATTAGTGTACACCGACCATGCAAACCCAAACAAATGAAGCCCAACCTGTACAGGCACGCTATAAATTCAAAGTGCTCAGCCATTTTTCAAGGATTAGTCAGAATGCTATTTGCATGAATAACTTAATTTCTTGTAAGCTGGCATTTATGAAGGGTGGGGAAAGCCTTAAGAAGCTGAAGTTCAGGACAGCGTTACTTCAGGTAGCGTAGTGCCTTTCGTTTGGTTGTTCTGCTTTCTCAGGGGAGAGCACATGGACCAGGGCTCTAGAGTAGCACACGAAATGCACACTGCTGACTGGAACGTGGGGGGCCCAAGCTTTATTTTTGTGGTGTATCAGAGGCAGTGGATTCCAGCAGATCTGCCACTCTGCCAGCTGAGTCAGGTCAGGCTAGAAAAGACATTTTCCCTTCCCAAACCTGCACGTAGCGGAATCAGCTCTGTATTTTTTCTTTTTTTTAAGAGAAGCTGCAAATAAATTTAACCAAACTGTACCAAAAATTAAATTGTTTCTAGTAATGTTGTAAGGAAGCTGCTGAAAGCCATTCCTGCAATCAGTCGTCACCCCTCGGTGATCAAGGGGAAAAAGCACTTCAGTTCAGTTAAATCCATTTTGAAAGGACTTGAATCCAACAAATAACAAGACACCTATACCTTTTTGGCAGGACAGCAGCCTACTGAACATGCTTTTGCTTTTAAGTTCCCACTGTGTGGTGTCCTGTGCCTATGGAAAACACGCCTACTTCATGTTACTCGTCCTGGATTAGCCAGGAAAAGATAACTGCCGTGGCTAAAACATCATCCACGTCCTTGTTATTGCAATGATCTTGTCTGATCCACTGCTCATCAGCATCAGGCCTTTCCCTGAGCAAATCCCTAACCAAGTCAGACTGGGAATACTGGCTAGCCTCTCCCTCCAGGGTGGGCTCTATTACCTTCCCCCGCTTCCTCACACGCAGTATAAACTACCCCGCTTCTCTTCCCTGTGTTTCAGGCCTTGTCTCACCGTGGTTTTCCAGTTGTTGGACTCTGTATTACAGCCACTACAAATACACAACTGGCCTCGCTCGGGTCTACTTTATTTCTGTCACACTGCTCCTAAGGTGCGCCGAAAACGTGCCTGGCTTTACAGTGAGAATAAAGTCTCCACATCTTGCATTTCACAGAAGAGTGAACTGCTTTCTGCACGGTATACAGCTGATAGAATTGCTACAGCTGAATAAAAACTTATCTGACGTGTGCCTCAATACAGCTGCCTTCTTGACCAACGTCACAGATGAACACTGAGACCTTACAAAACACATTCAGCACGTAACGTCCTCCACAAGCCTTGACAAGGAAGAGAACGTAATGCGGAACGAATTAATGCAGTTATGGAACAACCAGCCCTGCCTCAAATTAAGTCTCTGCAGAAGGTGATGCAAGAGGAAGATCCTCTGGCCAGACTGCCCGACTTTCTGAGCAGAGGTGCCGACTCGTACTCCAAGGCAACAACAGTCCCCTCGCACAGACGCTTGTTGTCAGAGTGCCTGGAGGAGCAGGCCAGCCTCGGCTGCGGCAGGGTGCACCCTTCGGCAGGCAGCCGCTGTACGGTAACCCGGGTGACTCAGGGTTCAGTCAAAAGCCGGTCCAGCCCACCTTGTTGCCAGAGATGGGGAACTACGCGCTCTGTCGTCTGTTCGTCGCTCAGAGAAACAGATCCGCTGCTATTTTGGAAGAGCTGCCTCCCACACGTCTTTCCTTCCGGCAACACAAGCCGTGCTGGTCGCTCTCCGAAGCAAACTTGGAGTTCTGAGTTAAGCTGATGGAAACCGCAGGGGTCTGCTTATCATCAAGTCCACATGAGGGATTCATGTATGAGTCAACCAGTGTCTAATCAGTTAATGAAGCCATGGGCCTTAATGAGAAAAATAGCTACCTCAAGTCGGGCTAGTAGTCCTATAATTAAAATATTTAATTATACATTTCCCATTAATTGGTAAAGACTAATTGAATATTAACGTAAGCTGGTTAATACGACAGAAATTAAAATGGAGATATCTCATTCTTTAAAATGTGCATCTTTTTGCCAACGAGTGTTAACAGGAGGTGGAGGCAGCCTGGCTCTCAGGGCTGTACCAGCTGCTGGTCACGGGTTGCCCACACGAGCCCAGGCTCATACGCAGTTCAGGACAGACCAGCCGCACACGTGGCTGCACCTCCTCGTGGGCAAGTGCGAAGAGCAAGGAGAAAGCACAAATCAGAGCGTTTAGATTCAGTCCCGCAGGCGTTTCTTCCAGACCACGTTGCCTTCCACCGTACTGACAGCGGCCATACCGGACACGAACACATCTGGCAGCACCTGGAATCTTGCAACACGAGACTTCAGAGATCCGACAGCAGAAGGGAACGGCAACGCACAGCTTCACTACCTGGACTGCAGGGAAAAAATCCCTAGGAACAGGGTGAAGCGCTGCAACTAGACTCGGGAGTAAATGCTCAGTGTGAACTACGAAACAATCAAAAACGGCTGCAGAGAAGAGGATTCCTTCAGCCGGTGACTGGCAGCGGCTTTCCTTCGAAGGATGATTTCTGCAGTAAGAACTACGTCTTGTTTAGCTTTTAAGAAACACTTTCCACACTCAACTCGCATTCTAGCATTACACCTAAACCAACAAATACCCAGCCTGAGGGGGGGGGGGGGGGGGGAAAGATTGCTTTCCTTTTACCTGCAGATGTCAAAATTTGTAAATTTTTTCTATAAAAATGAAGAAAAACAAGAGATGAGATCCCCAGAATTTCACAAAGAAATTGTTCAGCAGAGCAACTGCCGTTGACACTCCCTCATCACAACTTTAGCTCAGAGTTAAGAAAAAAGGACTCTTCTAATCTATCTGATGTGGAGATTCTTCTAATTGTGGTGACTCCATCAAACTCCTATTCGAAATGAGAGAACGAGGTCACTCAGCCGAGCAAGACTGAAATTAGAAGCTTGTCTGGAAACAACAAGCAGAGTAATGCTCTTAAAATTTGTTATGTCTTGGACATTTGTTCCTTACTGTCACTGTTCTCCTCTTTGTTACCCGTGTTCTCCCCTCCCAATTTTCCAAATCAACGGTGTTACGACTGTCAGAGCTGAATCCCACTCTCCCGCCACGGGGGAGTTTGCAGGCACACGGCTTCACGAACAATCACGATGTCTCCTTCACAGCACTTCGGGGAGAGGGTGGGAAGCGCTCAGCCCAGCAGAGGTGAGCTGAGAAAACCTAACAGCTAAGGGGTAAGGAAGAGATGAGAGAGGAGTAACAGAAAGGGGAGCCCTCTGCTGCTGCTTGCTTCAAGAACGAGATGAATCTGTTTAATCTCTGGTTTGATGACAGCTTTCGAGGCACTCGGTTTTTTTTTTCCTTTTCATAAAGAACCCATCACACTGACAGACTGACATTGATGATCTCAGCTGCCTGTGCAAACACCAGTAAGAGCAATAATTAATGAACCCTCAAACATCACTGCCATCTCCTCGGAAACTACTCTAAAAGGAGCTTGAGCTGTTAAAACCTCTGTCCATGAAGAAACTGGCACGGTCACGCACAGTAGCTCCCTAACAGGGATTAACTAAAGTTTGAGCAATACCTTGTTGCTGGTTTCTAGGTTTGGGGGTGTTTTGTTTGTTTGTTTTTGGTTTTCCCCTTTGTTATTCCCTTTTTAGATGACAGATTACTTCATTTCCTAGCATGTTGACTATGCATTAGAAATTCCATCTAGAGGAAACTGCCTCTTTGCAAATCTTTCCTATCACACTTACCAGAATCATCATTTAAAATAATCTCCTCTACTTCCAATGAACCTAAAATTAACACAGATGTTCCAAAACCCATTTGCTTGTTGACTACTAGCGAAGAGACAGAAATTCAAGATTAACATTTTAGGAGCCCAGTCTGACAACTGTGACCACCTCAGTTCCCCCCCGTTGCTGTACAACGCTGTGAAAACTGACATTTCCATCGAGAGGAACATCTCGCTCTCTCACACCGTCATGACTGCATCTCAAAGCTGCATCACATACCTAAGCGTGTGCCTCTTTGGAAGCACTCATGCTCATAAGAAATTCATTTCTTTTGTGAATTCGCCTCAAATTTTTCTTAAAACTCCACAGACAAACGTCTCAAAAATTCAATCACACAATCTCTTTTCTAGTATTAGCGCAGTGCCCTTAGCATCACCATTTCACTGATTTCTTTTTTTCCCCCGCCACAGAGTTTAAAAGCAATTGCACTAAAACTCGCTGTCCCTACACAACGTGGAGCAGGGAGGCTGCACAGGAACAGTCCCTGTAGAAGTCAAGTCCCGTCAGCCGCTGCTTTGCCTCGGGAGGCTCCTGTGAAATCACTCTGGAGACCATAAATAACCCCCAGAAGCTGCATTACAGAAGTTATTATTTCTCATCAGTTATCAAAACCATTCAACTATAGTTGTTCCCAGCTAT